CTACAACGGCAGAGGCCCCCAAGGCCCCTCGGAAGCTCCCCTCCGCAAGCAGAAGCTCTGGAAAAGACAAACTTCCCTTTCGAGATGCTGGTGTGAACAGAAAGGGCCCCAGCATTCCCTCCGGGGCATCACGCCAACAGAACACCCCCCTTCAGGATTTCCAACAGCACGAAGACCTGCCCCGCCACGAGCCAGCCCGTCCGCCCGTCCGTGGGCTCTCCAGAGGACGTTTGCCGTGCGGCATCTCCCAACACACAGGTTCATGGGGCCAACCACCTATTTCTAACTCAGTTTAAATCACTCCTCTGCCGGCCTACTCAAACGCCACCCTCCAGGGGGGCAGTACCCAATCACCCCCTTTTAAACTGCAACAACCCCCCAGTGTGGCCCTCCCGCTGGCTCCGCCCCGCTCGACTAATTGTCACCCCAACGCACCACCCAACTCGTCTACCTCCCACTGAAGAGGGCAGGTGTTTCTACGTTCACAACTGTATCCCCAGCACCTAGCACACTGCACCCAGCACACCGTGGATGCGTGGTATGAGCTGAAAGAAACAACTGAAATCGTACACTTGTCCGTCCGTACTTAATTAAGCGGTTTTCAAACAATCTTCACCCCACGTTATTAAGAAACAAAGAACTGTCCACTTGCACTGCGCAATCTCGGTCCAGCCCCTCATTTCACAGACAATGTAAATGGACTCGGAAACAGCGTGAGGGCCCTGGCCCAGTGGCTCAGCGGGTTGGGGTGTTGTCCTGTAACCAAAGGGTTGCGGTTCAACTCCCGGTCAGGGCACATGCGTACACAGCGGGTCCGGGAGCGTTCAGGAGGCAACCCCATCGATGCTTCTCTCTCACCCCGTCCCCTCTCTCTAAAAGCAACGAAAAGAAAATGTCCTTGGCGATGGTAAGAAAGGAACTGTGTGAGACATAGTGTGGCATCAAAGGTCCTGAGATCCACATGAGCCTTCGTGCAGCAGCTCAGCCTCTCTGAACTTGCCATTGCCCCCTCTGTAGTGAGAATAACTCCTACCCCACCGTGATGGCTCGGGACACAAAATGAGGTGACACTGGGAAAAGGTACACAGTGCTCCTACAGAGTATCACTTGTCACCAGACTATGTTAACCTGCCCCGAGTCACGCGAGCCAGTGAGGGGCACAGTCAGAGCACGAGCTCCAGACTCCTGACTCCCAGCCCAGGGCCTCTGGTGTCACGAAGCCAGGCCTCCGATGGCCCTGTCCAGGGCCAGCTCACTCTTCCGCCTCGTTCAAGGCCTCTCCACCTTTGGGCGGCAGGGGACAGCGCTCGGGATTTGAGGAGGGCGGTAGCCCCTCTCCTCCGGCAAAGCCCACTCGTGCACACCAACACAAACCTCCTGCAGGCCAGGGGTCCACAGGCCCGGGGCGGGAGACCCACTAACACCACGGCTGTGCCCCTGAGCTGCCCTGGGCAATTTTCATTACTTATTTTGGGGAGTGACAACTCACGCCTTGGCGCTCTCCACTGAGAGGCTGGGACACCAGGAGCAGCCACCAGGAGTCTGAGGTCTGAGGTAAGAACACCACCCCGGTCGGTCACCGCGCCGAGGCAGTGAGGACTGGAACCCCTGCCACCTCCAGGGAGGGCGGCCAAGGCAGCAGTCCTCAAAGGCTGGACGCTCAGGACCAAAAGCCGACGGACAATCACATCATTTGTACTATGCTGCCACACTATACAAGAGCCGCTCCGACAACTGAACACGACCGTTTTCAAACCGTCACCGAGAGGCACCCCGGCCTCTTCCCTGAAGAAAATATGCCCGGGGCGTCTGGGGTGGGGCTTCTGGCCCCGGACCAACCCCATCACCATTCGCTCCCGACCAGATTATACGCAAAGATCCGGTCCTCCCCTTCCTTACTTCGGTCAAGGAACAGACTGCACTCACTGTAAAAATAACGAGCCTAGGAAAAAGACAAAACAGCATTAAACCTTCGGGGAGATGAGTAATGGCCACTGAACGCAGCGCCGCTGCCCAGAGGCGCCTCCACACGCCCCTGTGGAAGCCAGGCGGACACCCGCCCCGGGCGCAACCACACCGCAGGGCGTCTGGCGATCTCCCCACGTGCTGACGGCGTCTCTCTGAGTGGTGGCCGTGCGGTGACTTTCATTCTCTCACCTATATTTTGCTTTAATGTTCAAGTTTTACATAACGTGTACGTATTATGTTTGAAGTCAGAGATTTTGAACAACTTACAGCATTGCCTATACGTTCACAGATTTTTGGTCTGATGATTACAGAATCCCAATGTGGGGGGCGGGAAGCAACACACAAGGCCTCACACATACCCCCGCCAAACCAAAATTAAGTCGATTGACTCTTCCAAGGAAATCCTGTGCATTCAAGGTTCACGAACCAAGTTTTTTTTTTTAACGTGCAAAAATAATATCCATGTCTGGGGGACAGTTCTCTAAGTGGGAGGCCCCGACCTCTCTCAGAACTGTGGCTCGGACCCTCCCGCCCTTCCTTCCAAAGGCTGCTTTGCTTCAAACAGAAGCCAAGTCCTCGAGGATTCTGCTTCCTGCACTTTCTGAACCCATGAGCTCAGCCTGGAGGTGCAGGGTGAGGTGAGATCTTTCCCACCAGTGAAGACTGGCTTCCTGAAACAGCTGATACCCCATTTCCACCCCTTGGTGTTCCTCATCGGTTCTGTCTGTTAAGGCTGCCACCAGTTAAGATTGTACAGCCTCTTCAGCTGGCCTAACAAGGTACAACTCAGCATTCGTTTTGTGTCGTTTTGTTAAAGAACGGTCTTCCACTGCATCGTAAATCCTAACCATGGGATTGTGTCTCAAACTGCCAGGACAATAAAGGATTAGATTAAAAACTCACCTAAACGAAATAAAAATAAATTTATTCATACTTAGAGAATCAAAACTGATAGCGTTCTTGGTGAGGTCTCCAGTCACGGAATCAAATTTGTTACAAACCTAAAAGTAAGTTTTTAAACTTTAATTTCTGATAGCGACTGAAAATTGTAAGTTAAATTTTACATTAACCATTTGGAAACACATCTTACCTGAGAAACGAGAAGAGTTACGCAGGTGTGAGCAGTTATCAAAATGGAGCCCAAAGACCCACTCCTGCTGCTCGCGTTTGAGGGAGCGCACGCCCTGCACGCGAGAGGGCGGCCTCCCAGAACCCCTCCGAGGGCCCACGGCTCACCTGCAGCCGACGTTTCATGTGTTACCCACGCAAACCTGGCCTCTCCTCTCAGCCTGCACTTGCGCCAGCAACTACATTACTCGCGCTAACGCCCAGAAACCAAGTGTATTTCTCCCAGCGCGGCACGAGTCATTTAGCGAGGACGCTACGTAACTGCAATGAGGCAGGACTGGGTACCTCTACTTCTCCATCAGCAGAATGGGAATAAATGGGTTCTGAAGGATGAGTTTCCCCGCAGCACGTGTGGGACGGGCCCGTCAACTCGGAAACCGTGATCTGCCGGGAAGAGAAGGGGCCGGCGCCCCCGACGCGTGCTTTCGGGCAGAACCTCCCAAACAAACAGCCACCATTTTGAGCCCCGGCATCTGAACGGCGCACGGTCTTCCGCCGCCAACCGAGGGGAACCACAGGGTCGCCCGAGTAATGGTGGGGCCTCGCCTGACCTTCAGCGTCCCCGACCTTTCCTTTCTGCGGCCCTGTTTCTCTGCTGGAGTCAGCCTGAGCAGTCGTCCCCCGAACGTTTTTAGTGAAAAGCATGCTTTCTGCAGTCTCGTTCAAACTTTCCAAATAAACACTGAGGCGCTACCTAAAATACCCCAGGGGCTCCGTCTTCCTAAAAACAGAGGCAGCACGCGACGTGATCTCCTTGTTTTAATCAGTTTACGGAACTAAGGAGCCAGCGAACGGCCCCAGTTATCAGCCCGCATTCCTCTTCCTTCTCCCACCCTGGCCCTTTTGATCTTTTCGTTTTCCCGATTTCACTAACTCTGCAATAAGAGCGGGTTCCCACACTTCATGCATAGGAGAAGCAAACAGTGCTTCCACAAACGACTCAAAGTCTAAAAATACAGGCGAGGACAGAAAATCTTGGAGAAGTAAACGAACTCAAATCAATCCGAAAATGGCAGAAAGTGAGATAGGTGGGGGCGGGGAGGCCGCGACCACGATTCGCTCCTCCGAACGGGCGACTCCAGTGTCGATGACTCCATCGGCGAACTCCAAGGCAGAACTGGAAAGAAAAACTGACCCGCCGTTTGCACCCACCTTTGTGCAAAGGCACAAGGTGGGAAGTTACTACGCACACTGCTTAGAGGCGACCGCGCGATGCAACCTGCCGACCAATCAAATATTCCACACCGCCTTCCAAAATTAAAAATAGAAGAAAGGAGGATGCGGATGCTGCGGGGCTGGCCGCTCTTCCAGGCGACCCGGTCCCTTCCGTCCCCCACTCTCCCGCCACCAGCCCCGCCGCGAGGAGCCCGGTCGAGCGCGGCGCTCACAAAGCCTCGGGCGTGAGCGCCTTCGGCCAGGCCAGAGCCGCCCCTCTCCCGCCGCGATAATGGTGGCGAAGCCGACCCCAGAGCTCCGCATGTCCCGGCATGAGGGGAGCCGCCCGTTCCGAGCGGAGGGGCGCCGTTCAAAAATAACGGGAGTCCTAAACTTTCCCTCCGCGGCCCCGCAGCCCCGACTCAGCCCGGCGCGCCGGCCGACGTGGGGACGCGCCTCGGCCGGCCCCGCGGCCCCGCCCGGTGCCCCGTCCCGCCGGCAGCTGCCGCGCCGCTCCCGCCGTCCCGAGAGAGAGCTCCCGGAGGCCGAGGAGCGCGGCGGTCCCACTCCCACAAAAGCGCGCTCGGCCGCCCGCCGCCCGCTCCGCCTCACGGGAGCAGGCGCGGTGCGCGCGGCGGCCGCCCGCCCCCGTCCCGAGCCCGACTCCCGCCGCGGCCGGTCCGCACCGAGCCCTCCGCCGAGAGCCTTTCCCCTCCGCGCGGAATCGGGCGCCGCGCGCCGCCGCTCACCTCGATCTCGAAGTCGGGCAGGCGGAACGCGGTGCGAAAGAGCGAGCAGAAGTGCGCGATGGCCGGGACTTCCCACCAGGAGCGGAGCTCGCCCAGCCCGGCCGCGCCGCCCTCCTCCGGGCACATCTCCCGGCCCCGGCGCTCGCGGCCGGAGCGCCGGCCCCGAGCTCGACGCGCGCCTCGCGGCCCCACGCTGCCCGCCGGACTCCCGCCTCAGCTCCGCGGGCGGGGGCAGGGGCGCGGGCGGCGGCTCCTCCCGCTGCCGCCGCCGCTCGGCGAGAGCATGAGCTGAGGGCGGGCGCGGGGGGCGACGGCTCGCCCGAGTCACTGAGGCGGCTGAGGCTCCGGCTGCCCGCAGGCTCCGCGCCCGCGCCCCATCCCGCGGCGGCCGCCCCCAGCCGGTCCGATGCAATCACCGCGCGGCCGGCGCACACAGATGGGGCTGGGGGCGGGGCGGGGCCCGAGCGAGGCCCGGGGGCGGGGCCGCCACGAGGAGGGGGCGGGGCCGCCCCGCCACAACAACAACCCCGCCCCCACCGCGGCCGGGACAGCTGCACGGGAAGAGAGGGGGAGGGGAGAGCGAACTGAGCACCCCAAGAGCGCAGTGTGAGTAGACGCGGTTGAGGGGCACCCCGGGAGCAGCGCAGAGAACCATTCCGCTTCCCAGGTGTTCGGGACTGAGGAGTTCAATGACTTCCAGGAGCGAGGACAATGACGGTCTCCCGCCCACCCCCCACTAGGCCTTAGTGGTCGCATCCTGTTAAAGGGCCCGCGGCGTGATGCTTTCCGTTGGGGCCAGATGCAGAAAGACGCACGTGTGGGAGTTCGGTTATTATTGGTACGGAGGGTAGCACCGGAAAACCTGCGCACCGGGCACCGCGCAAATCGAAGGCCTCGAGAAATCAAGTGGTTTCCACTTGTTCCTGAACACTTTTATTCCATCCGAGAAGCACTAGGAAGCTCAAAAGTGGCTCTTTCCTTCGAGGGAAGAAGGCGGCGGGTCTGGTAGAGCTGGAACCCAGTGCGATGGAGGCTGGAGCGCAGCGGGAAGGGTGGGGTAGGGGAGGCACCAATCAGCCGACGTGCGGAAGAGCGATCCCTCCCACCACCGCCCCCCCCCCTCCCCGGGAATGGGCTCCTGTGACTGCCCTAGAGAAGCGGAGCTTGGAGCCCGGAGATACCCTGGCCGCAGACTGGCTGCCTGGAAGGGTGCGCGCTGTGTAGTGAGAAAGTTGGGGGATGGGAAAAGGGAGCTAGTCTGTGGATTCTGGTGGGGGTGGGGACATGCGCGCCTTAGGCTGAGAGAAGACTCGATCAGAAGGGTGGGTGTTGAGGGGTCTGCTTTAGAAATGTTGCATTCTACACTGTGTTAGAATTCTGCTGAGCCTGAAGGGAAAAAAAAAAAAAGAATCACCTCCAAAGCAGACCAGAAATTTGGAAAAACCAATCGAATGCCCAGATTATTTGTAGTGGTCACTGTGATTACGTATCACATTGACCAAAAAGTTTGTTTTCTGTAAGATGACTCTGGGAGCACGAGCACGTAGTTGTCTTTAATTTAGAAACAATTTTATTAGGTTGTATTGTGGCAGCTGTCATATCAAGGTGCATTTCTTAAAAAGTTTATCAAAATTGGTGAATTTTTGTGAAGCTATTTTAATATTGAAGGGGGATTAAAATATACAACATTTTACACATATTGTGCTTTATTATTTCAAGAAAGGTAAAGACGCAACTGAAATGCAAAAAAAATAAAAATAAAGATTTATGCAGTGTGTGGAGTAGGTGCTGTGCATGATCAAACGTGTCAAAAGTGGTTTGCTGGAGATTTCTCGCCAAAGGATGCAGTGTGGTCCGGTAGACCAGTTGAAGTTGATAAGGATCAACTCGAGACATTAACTGAGAACGATCAATGTTCTAACACGCAGGAGGCAGCCAGCATCCTCAAAATACCCAAATCAATAAAGTTACTGGTGAAAATGAAAAATGTGTCTTTTACTTTACAGAAAAAAACAAGCCCAGTATTTAGCAAGTGCATTCTAAAGTCTCAAAGGGCCTGAGTGGGTTCTGGATTCCACCTCTCAGGCAGGAAGCACCCGCCCTGATGCTTCCCCCCAAGTGAATCGAGCACTTACTGCGTGACAGGTACAGCCACAAAGCGTGTGGCGGGAAAACCAAAGGCTGAGTCCTCTTCTGCCTTGAGTCCTTGTGAAGTCTGCGGAGAACCCACAAGGGGGAATGGACGCTAGGTGATAGATTGGGAGCGGGCTGTGTGGGTGCTTGCCTCCCACCCCTCCACCTCATTTTTCTGGTAGTTTCAATAACCTGTTTCGTTTTTATAAGGCAGCAACTCTCAAAAATCCAACTTCTTAAAATGTGTATTTAAGTGTATCTTTTCTGAATCAACTAATCTCAAAATACTTTCATCTTTTAAGACGCTCTGCCCTCCCCCAGAGAAACAGCCCAAAAGTCCTACAATTTTGTTCATTACCTGGAACTACTTAATGGTTTAAAATGCAACTTCAAATTACACTATCTCTGTTCATCTTTGACAGAAGCAGCCATCTAAAGAGCAAAGGCTACATTGTGGTGTGTTTGTAATGCACAGCTACCAGGTACATACGCTGTCAGTAGACCAGATGTAAGAAGGGTGTCCAGCGCCTGTGGAATTCATCCCATAACCCGGATTAGATGTTTTCTGGACTTTTTTTCCTTGTCCTCCTCCATTTCCCCACGGGTCAGTTCGACTTTCCACCCTTTCTCACTGAAGGGTTACCGCTTCCCTCCACGTTTGGCTCTAATCCATTCCATCCTGACTGGTCCTTCTTTTCCCCGCCTTCTCTTCCCTGGTTCGCCCTCTGTCTTCTTCTTGCCTTCACCTTTATCACTGTTTCACCTTTTTTACCTGGCCACTTAATTGTCATTACTGGCCAGCTTCCTGATCGTGCCCAGAACGTCCACAATGCCAGAAAGCAGGAAACTGAGACATCTTGGTGACTGGACTACATTTGAACTAGAGTTACGACCCTCCCCCGCACCTCCACTTGAAAGCTACTCTGCTGCCCTCCTCCCCCCACGCCGCTGCCCCATCCTGCCCATCAGTGATTCTCAGCCTCTTTCATCTCACGGGACACATAAACTAATTACTGACGTCCTGCGGCACACCAAAAAAACATCTTTTTTGCTAATCCGACAAAAATACGTATAATTTTCACTGATTTACAAAAAAATAATGTTAATTACCTACCCTTTTTTGTTCCAAAGTGACTTTTAAAAAACCAGGTGCTTATACTTGCATGTAAGCATTTCTGGTACCAAGAATTAACCAATCAAACACAAAATTATTATACGAGGTGACCAGTAAGACGCCCTCTGTTATATGACCCCCATATTTATGGTTCAAGACAGGGCATGCGCATCGGGTGGCTTCTGCCCTGTGGCTGGTGTAATTTTTTTGTTTGACAATCCAAGGGAAAACAGGTCAGTGCCCCTGACTAAATAGTCAGGTGCTGTGTGCTTTAAAAAGTGTTACAGCCCACCGGTCCAAAATCCCTGCTGTGAATCAACAAAGCTGTGTTGGAACTGGAAGTGCCCCCTGGTGGTGGCCTGGGTCTCTCCCTGTCTCTTCCTGGTGATTTCGCCGCCTGGACCTTCTTCTTCGGAGGGTCCCTTCTCAGTGAGAGGCACATCAGCTTGAGACCTGCTTCTTTCTGTCCACCTCCACCTCTGGCTCGGGGTCTGCGGTGCTTGCTTGGTTGCTCACCCCACTGGGCTCTCTGCTCACGCCAGCGTCTGCCCACAGCCCGGACCCCATCCGGGTCTGAGGAGCCAATGCGCCTCGTGTGTCTTGGGTGCAGGGGAAGGGTGGCCACGTGTTCCCTGAGTCTGGGCTCTAACCGGAGCCTCCATTGGAATTGATACCCTGGACCTTTGACCCTGCCTTGAACATTTGCCCCGCCTTCCCCCACCCCCTCCCCGAAGGACTTAGCTGCCCCAGCTCTGCTTTCTGGATGTGCTTCCCACCTAATCTCCTGGAATCCGGATTATTGACCCTGTACCTGCACGCTGGACACTCGCCCCGCCCCCTCCCTTTCTCCAGCTGTTTTCTCACCCCTGGCATTCTCCAGCCTGGCCAGTCCCTCCACCCTCTACACACTCCTGTGTCATCTTCCAAAAAAAACATACACAGCTCCTACCCACTTCCCTTCCTCTCTCCACTGCCGGTACCCTCAGCTGACCCTGGAAGCACCAAGCGGCTCTTTCCGGACTTGGAGGAGCAGGAGGCACCAGCAAAGGAGAGGACACCCACCTCCACAAGGACTGAGAGATGGGGCCCTGGGGCCCCACAGCCAGGACGCCCACCGCGGGCTGTTGGTCAGGCTGTAGAGGTTTCTGGCTGTGGGAACCAGCCCCACCTTCCACCAAATGGTGCTGAAGAGGTCGTTCACCAGTCACACTCACCGGCCGCCTCTGTCCCTTCCCCCGACGACCCACAGGATGAAGCTCCCTGGCCGGGAGGCACACCCGCTGTGGCTGGAGAGATGACAACCCATGACGCGCGTGTGAAGGAGCTGCCCAGCTTCAGGGGGTGTGCAGCGCGTGGGAGCAGCCGCCGGAGCGGACTCCTGGTGGCCATGGGCCCGCTGGCCCTGGGCTGCCTCAAGGGCGGTGGCACCTCCTGCTCTGAGGTCCTTGAGGGCAGAGACGCGTACAGGCATCTGGGAACATCCCAGGGACCCAAAACCGGTGTGCCCCCCGAGGGCTGGGAGTTCCAGTGCGCCAGAGGCGTGGGCCAGCCGTGGGCCATCCCGTGGGCCGGCCATGGCAACACAAACTAACCCCAGGTCCTGCCTTCTCATTAGAAAGATTCTGAATGCTGGAAAAAAAAAGTGCCAAGAAGCATTTCTCTTGTCTATCTACATCCTTCAGCTCCATGGTCTCTTCTACATAAATGGTTTCCACTTGAAAAAGCACATAAGCTCTCTGAGCACACGGACCCCCTTCGAGGTGGTGAAGGGGCTAAGAGGACAGCCTGGACGCGCATCCTGTGGAAGATGGAACTTTTGATTCTGGAAATCTTACATCGTTTCTAGGGAGAAGGTGAAAGTAGATGGGAAACAGGAAGTCTTGGGAATGTTGTTCACGAACGCATCAAGAATAAAATCACAGCCCTGGCTGGTGTGGCTCAGTAGACTGAGCGCCAGCTCGCAAACCAAAGGGTCGCTGGTTCGATTCCCGGTCAGGGCACATGCCTG